TGGTTTGAGGAAAGAGTTGATGGCACAAACCCAGAGATGTTGTTGACATGGGGGGTCCTTCTAAACCACCTGAAACAGGAATTGGCACAATCTACTCTGAAACCACTGTAGATGGCCTGTGCGCTCAGATGTCTAGATGATGGGAGATGATGGGGGTCCATATAAACCACCCCTTGGGGTTTGTGCCATCTACTCTCAATCCACCGAAAAAAGGGTTTCTTCATGATTCCTTCACTTCATTCAAAGGGGTCATGCAGAATGCACCATTCCATGGATGCATGTGTTAAACACATGGAATTCTTCCATGAATTCCACTTTGGCATCTTCCCGGCCCGGCCTTGCCTTGAGGCGGGGAGACCTGGTTCCCACGGGCGCATGGAGGGCCCATTCCCTGGGACGAATGGACAGCCTGCGATTCACGTGGAGTCACGTGGAGTCACAAGTGAGCGGCGTGAGGAGAGCGGTGTGAGTGCGGTCGACCGGTGCGGTCAGGGAGCCTCACACCGCATTCCAGAAAAGGTCCACCCCCCTGGCCCCCCCCCCAAAAACAGATTATTGGAAGATGAGCTCAAATTCATGGGAGTGGGGTGTGCTGCCAGCTTTGGGGAGCCGAAGGGCCGCACCAAACAGAGCCCCAGGATCTGAGGGCCGGTGGTAGATGCCGATGCCTGGAGTGCCGTAGCCATCGACTGACGGACAACATGATGACTGGTCCAAGATGCAGTAGCAGCTTCATGAGAGGTTGGTGGGATGCCTTTCAATACTGACCGGTGCTTAGCAGGGAATGAGCGAATGGATCCAATAGAATCTCTATTGGGATTCGCTACTGAGCACCAGTCAGAATAATGCATCAAATACTGTACAGTATCAATTCAATCGAAGTCAATAGTTCACGCGGCTTCAACGAACTTGTCGCTTGCTGCTCACCCCACCAGATTCCACTGGATGAGTAAGACAAGATCAACTCTAGGGGCCATTTGAAGGTACACCCAGACCACCCCCATCACGAGGACCAAGTCATTTGAGACACACATTCGCACACTTGGCATCTTTGGGGCATCCTGGATGGCATCTTTGGGACGGCTGGGCGGGTGAGATGGGCAAGGGCCCCGCTCCGCTCCGCTCCTTACCCACAAGGTGAAGATGGGCAAGGACCATGTCGCGATCTTGTTCTATTCGCTCTACTCCAGCGGCGCAGCTTTCGCCCAAAGGGAGAAAGACAGACCGATGGTGACGGAACGAAGGCGCCGGAAGAACGGAACCCCTTGTATACCTACCGTATATGCGCCGGGATGAATGTCTCCAGAGTCGCGTCGCCCGGGGCGAAGCTGAAGAACAAAGGGTCGCGAGCCTCTAGGGGTGATCAAAGGATCAAAAGAGATCAACGTCGCGAGCGCAGCTGGATTCAGCGTGATGGACAGTGGTTTAAAAGGATCAGAAGGGTGGCCAACTGCGAGGATCCCCAATGACCAGAGGTTTGTACTTGATATACCTAGTTGGTTCTGGGTTAGTTAGTGCCTATAGTTAGTTGTTACTCCTAGTTATATACCTAGTTAGTTCTGGGTTGGTAAAAGCAGTCCTGCCTGAAGCTTGATCTTGAGATAGGGAGTCAAGTTTGCTGCAAGCGCTAGGAGCTGGTGGACCAACACAGAAAACGCAGAAACTTCTCGAACGCCATAATCATTCCGTGGCCATTCGGTGAAGAACCAGTCTAAGACTAATCCATCCATCCAGCCACGCTGCAACGACCTGTAGTCGCCTGTGCAACGCCCGTTGTTCTCCGAGTCCCGGAGATCTGAGGACGTGGATGACTACAGCTGGCACTGCGGATGCCCGGTGGAGAATGGCACCAAGTGGGCGGCAAACAGTGGCCTGGGACTGATATCTTGCAATGTGAGTGTGTATAGAAAATAGGCAGACCTCCCAAAGACCCAAGGAGGAAGGCACATAGACCCATTGGTTGGAGATCTTCCTATTAACAAGCACACCCACATAGATGGGCACTCAGTTGGGTGGTGGTTTCAGATGTTTTCTGTCAACCTTTGCTCGAATTGAGTGACCCCACTGAATCATAAGCTACCAGCCAGCCAGACAGTGAAAAAGGTTGACATGAAACCTATATATATACCTGGGAAAAATGGATTACCTGCAACGCCTTTTGTTGGGGACCATCAACGAACAGGTAGAAAGGAACAATAAGGGAGTTAACTTCTCACTATTGTCCAAGGGAATCAGTACAAGGACATGGTTTCAGAAACACACTTTGTTCTTCGGAAAGTCAGCGGCATTTGGCAATATTTAATATATTTGTACAGGGTGAGGTTCCATGTGATTTAGTTGCTCTTGGGAGTTTGTGCAACATAAAGTGAGTAGATTGTGTAAAGATGCAGGACCAGCTTTCAGATGGGAATCCAAGTTTTGAACGGTGTGGTTGCTTCTCAAACGAACCAGACAGACCACAACCAGAAAGATTTTCACCTGAACGAAAAAATCGTGTGCTTCTGGGGATCGAGGTTTGCCATCATGGTCTTCACTTGTTTTATGTTGCTATGGGCTGTGGTCCAAATATTCAACAGACGTTCTATGATGGAACCTGAACACCATCGGTTCTGTAAGGTATATCGGTAATTACTTATATGTTTCTTTGATTTTCTTTGGGTTGCTTGAGGGCTTGCGCATGCCACTGGCGCCACCAATATCCTTGCCCATGCTATGCTCTGCCTCGTCCCCGACGCCGAAACCAAGAAAGAATCCTGGGCCAGCGTGGATGGAAAACGGCCCCGATGTCGGGTCACCAATTTCAATCCGAAGACCAAGCGGGTGGTTTATGGTGGTTTTCACTCACTTGCCGAGCAGTTCAGGTTGGGTGTGGAACCAGCCCTTCGAGCCGCCCTTTGCGCAGCGGATGCCGCCCCACCCGGCAGAGCTGGGCGACGCAGAGCTGTGAAAAGCGGTGAAAGGGGCCTGTGAAGTGGGGGAGGGGGCCCTTGATGTTGAACTTAGCCGTGATAAGTGATAAGCGCTAGGCTCGTTTCAATCCACGCCAATTGGCTCAGGCTGAACATCAGCCCTGGCTCTCGGCCGCTTTATTTTTTGTTATTCTCCCCCTCCTGTGCAGATGGCATCCAAGACGCTTCTTGCCGTGGCGGCCGCAGGAGGTGTGGCCTTCGTGGCACCTGGCAGCAAGGGCGCCAGCGCGCCCCCAGCACTGAGAGGCCAGGGGCCAAGCGTGCGAAGCCAGACCTCTTCAGGGCTCAGCTCTGCGGTCACAGCGGTGGCCCTGAGCAGTGCAGTTCTGGTGGGCGCCAGGAAGAACAATCATACAGCCTTGAGAGCCTTTGAGACCGAGCTCGGTGTGACTCCTCCGCTGGGCTTCTGGGACCCCTTGGGCTTTAGCAAGTTCGAGAACCCCGAAGTGGCCCAGCAGCAATTCAAGCGCCGCCGGATTGTGGAGATTCAACATGGCCGTGTGGCCATGTTGGCTTGCCTTGGCTACATCGTGCCAGAATATTTCCGCTTTCCAGGTCTTTGCTCCCCTTCTCAGGGCTTAGCCTTCACTGACATCCCCAATGGCCTCAAGGGAGCTGCTGCTGTGCCTCTGGCCGGCTGGTTGCAGATCATCACCTTTGTGGGCATCATTGAAGTGACCAACCTGCAAAAAGCCCAAGACGAGATCCTGGGTGACTATGGCTATGGAGCCTTTGGCCTTCCCTTCGGCAAGAAGATCGATGATCCCGAAAAGAAGAAGAAGAGCTTGACCGCAGAGCTCAACAATGGACGCTTGGCTATGATGGCCATCATCGGCATGTTCTACCAAGATGGTTTGACGGGCTCTGCATGGGGTGACTGGGCCAACTACGCAGATTCTCCTTTGAGGGCCTTTGAGGAGGAGTTGGGCGTTCAAGCTCCCGTCGGTTTTTGGGACCCCGTCGGCTACACCAGGGATGGAAACATGGAGACCTTCAAGCGCCGCAGGGAGACTGAGATCAAGCACGGTCGTGTGGCCATGTATGCCACCATGGGATATATCGTGCCGGAATACTTCAAATGGCCAGGATACTTGTCTCCATCCTTAGGTTTGAAGTTCGACGATGTGCCAAACGGCTTGGCGGCCATCAGCAAGGTCCCCGGCAACGGATGGGCGCAGATCGTGGCCTTCGCGGGCTACTACGAGCTGTTCGTGTACAAGTACAACGGAACCCCCGGAGACTATGGATGGAAGGCCATCAGCTCGGCAGACGCAGAGACCAAGAAGCGCAAGCTCAGTGCGGAACTCGCCAATGGACGTCTGGCCATGATGGCCATCATCGGCATGTTCTTTCAAGATGGTTTGACGGGCTCTGCTTGGGGAGATTGGGCCAACTACACCGACTCTCCCTTGCGCTGATCAGCTTTGGCTTGGTCACGATCAGCTTTGGCTTGGTCATTTGAAAAGAGCCGTTGGGATCGCCGTGGGGAGAGGTCAGGAACTGCGATGACGGCATCGTGACTCAGTCGTCGTATGTTTCAACTTGCTGTCCCTGGAACTAACATGGTTACGTGGACAACCACCTGTTAACGTGGAAAATGGCCTTCCTTTCGGGGCCATTCTCCACTTCCATGTTAGTTCCAGGGAGTGTACTTGTTCCTTCCTGTTCCTTCTACGCAGGCCGGGGGTCTTGGCTCAACGACCATGTCGACCGGGCGTCCCAACCGGTCCTTCTGGCTCCAGAGAAATGCACGGAGAGAACTCCCCCTTGAACAGAACATGCCCCGGGGAGTGTCACTCGTGAGAGTCACTCACCACTCTCGGCAGCCAGGTGTGCCAACATAGCCGTAAATGCACATGGCGACGCCATTTTAGACACAATATTTTGCCCTTTTTGCGACTTCGGACTCGACTTTGGCTGCGAGATGAGGGCCCCAGAACTTCGAACAAAACTCGGTTTAAAAAAACGAACGCCAAACGAAACATCCGGCGCGCCGCAGCTCTCGGGCAGAAAACGGTCTTGCACCACCAGGAGGTGCTCCGAAGCATCTGCCAACGGGGCTTCCTCCTGCCGGGCGATTGGATCGCCGCTCCGACCGGAATTATAGCGCGTGCGCACGCGTGCGGGAAGATTGTTCGGGATGTGTCCGGACAAGTGAAAATGAATTTTCCGGCGAGTGGACGTCGACATGTATCCCAAGGGGGGAATGGACATCATAGGATAGATCATGACATCCAGACCATCCATAGAATATCATTCATCATGCAAATATTTGACCCCCATTTTTGACCCTAATGTATACATTTACATGATGTAGGATCAATGGTTCCATCATGTTCCATCCATGGATCGCCTAATGTGCGTGGGTGAGAGATCGGAGGTGATAGGCCCCACGTGGTCGGCACGACCCGCTCCGACCGGTGGGCCCCGAGGAAGGCACGCCTGACTTTCTCGAGCTGGCACACGGCAACGTCAAAGGCGGCTGTGCCGAAAGCGGGGAGACGTCGTCGTCGAGGCGCATGGTGCAGCGTCAAGGTCCGAAGGTCCGCAACGAAACGACAGTAGAGAGACGTATCTGACGGAACGGAGCGGTGAAATGAGAGGTTCCGAACTTTTGCATACTTTTGCCCAACCATGTGGAATCAAGACATGTCAAGACCTTTTCCGAATAAATCCATGAGTCACACCGTCACACCATCCGGAATCCAAAAGTTCAACTCCCAAACCAGCTGAAGTGGCTGGTGAAGAATTTGTAGATGTACATCATTTTGCTGAAGTACTTCATTACCTACTTGATTTTGGATGGTTCCATCCTCATGGAGCCATCTACAGCTATAGTACACATATTATATATACACAACTCACTTGGATGGTAGGAGATCGAACTCCTTTTCTTTAAGGATCCATTAAAAAGATAGTCCTTTTAAAGTTATACATATCTTAAAGTACTGATCACTGCACCAAACATCGATGCCGTAGTTAGGTCACTCCCCCTATCTCCCGGACCCTCAGACCATCGGACCCTCGGACCCTCGGACCTCGCAGGCGTCGGCGTGTACACCTCGCCCTGCTTGGACACGGCCGCGCGGTATTCCGGCTCCTCGGTCCGCGGCATCCGTTGGGGTAGAGGGGATTGGACGGGGATCTGTTCGACACCCGGGCCAGGGGTGTCCATTAATAGGACATCCGGTCGAGGTGAAGGGGTGTCAACCACCCCGACAGGTCCTAGTTTGGGTAGGGTAGAGGGGATGGCCTTGGGGTCTGGGTGAAGCGGACGAATAGAGACGCCATCCGACCGCCCGGACGGTTGATTGGTAGAAGTTTTTTTTGGGGGGGGTTCGGGTGAACCAACCAATATATAATCAATGATCAATATAGAGTGGGATTTTTTTTGGGACATCGTTGCTCCACTCTGCGTGTTGTAAAATGAGATGACCGAAATTCTTTGGCAAAGTCATTCAAAGTCAATTTGTTTCAGATGGTTTCAATGCGGCATGTGGCATGTGAGACACTTATTCGGACTACATTCTTTAGCCAATTTGGTACGGAGACCGATTTGGAAGCAAAATGCATGCACACATGTTTCGAACCGATTTGTCTCTCAGAAACACACCTGCTTACCATTATATAACACAAAGGAAACTCGCCATGTCTTTCAAACACGGTGTAGCTCTAACCAAGCTCATTTCAAGAGTAATACCTGCTTGCCCCCCCAAAAAAACCTTTGTATATGCATGTGTACAATGTGTATGCTTTCAGAAATTTCATTCCGCGCGAAATGAAAGGAAGCTTTTCGCAAAACACGTAGCTTTCAAACAGAATGCCTGAATGCCTTAACTAAAAGCACCTGCACCCAACTGTAACCAAAAGTTATTTGAACATGAGAAGTTACGAGGCAGTTGTATGCTTTAAATCGTGCGTGTCAAGCTGCAAGAATGCACCCAGAGGCAGGAAGGTATCTTGCTTGGAAGCAGGTATGCAATTTGGCATTTCATTGCAATTCTTGGGCAGAAACACAGAGTTACAGTGGTTTCAGAGTAGATGGCACAGACCCCAAGATGTCCTAGACAGATGGGGGTCCATATAAACCACCGACATTGGGGTCTGTGCCATTGGTCCTCTCAATACACAATGTATATAGGAAAGTGTCGAGTTCAGCCGATGGTCAAGGACACTTTAGACAGAACCAGGTTGGGAAGATTGTGCGGAGTGTCAGGCTGTCACACAGCGCGGTGAGAGCGGAGGAAGGTCTGATCCATCACAAAAGTTCATCAGACCTACATTTGAGGCACCAAACTGAGGACATAGGCTAGGTGTGACTTATTTTTTAACACACATGTTTTGCATTGTTTGGACGGGGTAGGACGAAGAGATTGATCCACCAAAATCCCAAGACAAAGCAAACAAACAAGTCTTGGTTTGGGCTAGACTCCAGACAAGATCATAGGTTTGTTCTTAATTTTTTGGTTTTGGTGGATCAGTGATGTGCATACATGATTGAAACCTCACCCTTGTACTGTTCCAAGTGCTTTATTTCCCCAAATCCTAGGTATCAGGGGGATCTCTCAATGTAAATATATGATATATACTATATATATAACGACTATATATACGCCCACGATCTATAATATATTATATATACAGCATGTGGCTATTGGACACCCCGAGCGACCGTCTCCACGAGTGGGATGTGCTCTTCGTCCGTCCACCGGGTGCCGCTGGTGTATCCCTCCACCCATCTCCACCCCCTACTTTTCACAAAATCAAACCCCCCCCCCCCAAACACCCCCCCCCTGGAAAACTAGATTGAAATAATGCTTACCTAAATAATTAACCCTTAAATATCCCTAGAATATACCAGAAATAGGTCTAAAATTTGCCTGAAATAACTTTTTTGGAATTTACACTGAAATAACACTGATTTAGGACAAAGAACATGTTCAAAATGTAGATGCTGCGATGAAAATAACCCTTGATTAAGGGTTATTTCAAAAAGCTCCAATTTCAGATTGTATTGTTCTTGCCGTCTGGACTTACCTTCAGATTCAAGTCGGTGATAGCAAGGTCACGTTTGTTTAAATACATCGACTATAGAATCTATATCTGAGTGAGGTTCCAAGAGCAGTGCATGATAGAGCACAAATGACCAAAAAAGCAGAAGAAACACACACACACACACCATCCATGTTACAATGTTTGCTACATACTAGTGTGGGTGACAAAAACTGTCAGCCTGCCAAAACAGCCATGGATGTGATCGCGATGGAAGTGGATGCTGAAACTGAGGAGGGAGATGACTGCGAAGCAGCCATGGTGAATCTCCTTGAGTGTTTACTTCCTGATGATTTGTTGGTCACCATCGTGCAAGACCACGACATTCAAGCTCAGTGGGCAGCTTTCCCCTTTCTTATGCAACTCTTCCGTGCCCAAGACCCTGAGAAGATCAGAGAATACTACACCCACAGTGATAGGTGGGAGGAGATCCAGGATGTTCATAGACAACTGTGGCCAGGACATGGTTTGCCACAAATACTGGTTTCAAAGCATGAATCCAAGGAGGACACTGCTGGACAAGGTGTGTTCTTGAAGCACAAGTCTATGCCCACGTCCTTTGCTGTGTCCTGGTTGGCTTGGGCTGTGTCAAACAGCAAGCGGATGCCACCAGATCGACTAAGATCCCAGCAGTTTTTGAGGAGGCTTCTTACGTGCTCGCTGTGGCCGGCACTTTGCGCTTCAATATTCTGCGTGTGGGAGATCGCAATGCATCTCTGGCGGAGGTCCAGGTGACGTCCCTCAATGATCAACTCAATGCGAGGGCTCTGTGGACCCAAGCAGTGCATAGGAGTCTGCAAACTACCTGGAACAGGAAAAGGCTGGATGAGAACCATCCGCTTGAGTCCTCTGATGACAGGCCTTCTTTCATAGACGTGATCATCTTCGGGCTAGATCCCAAATGCCAACCTGCAAACTTGTGGTTGAAACCTCTGGCCTCCACGATTCTAGCTCAGACAGCGTCTTGGATGGATGACAACATTGCAAGACTTGCCGTGTCAGCCGACGAAAGAAATCAAAGTAGGCAAAAGAACAGGAAGCTCAGCAAGTCCATCAACTGGCTGGCGATGGCAAATCTTGCCATGTTTCTCATCAATGAGAATGACCCTTGGTTCAAAAAGAGATAGGAATCACATGGATTTACATGGATTTACCTAAAAGGAGTCACCCTCGTGCGTTGCAACTTTTCAAACGTTCAACTGGCAACTCGCAAGTGAGGAAGATCACGGCTTCAACATCAGGAAACTGTTGGATGATCGGAACCTTCAACATGTTACCGTCACCAGATTTGCCTCCGTGTTTTGCGTGATCCTGGCCTGTTTGCTCACAAGTGCTAACAGTCTGCCTAGGGAATGACAGCCAGGAAGCCTACTGGGCAAGGGCAAAGGCCGAGCTAAGCCAGTGCAAAGTCTTTCATGCCATGCTCTCAGATAATTTGGTTGACATGTTTGCTCACGGCGCTGCCACGCCAGTTGCAATATCTTGGAAAATAGAACGCAAAGGAAAGGCACCTGACTGAAATAAATACAAAGCAGAGTCTGGCTGCAGGTGTATACCGATGGATCTTCGGTTGCAGGCACACCTTGTGAACTTTGCTACCTTTGGAGTCCAAACCTCTTGAAGGGAGCTTTCGCTCCCCCAGTTGCTGGGGCCCCAAGTTATGAGATTCAGCAGTCAAGATGTGTGACATACGTGGTTTTCCTTTGGCGTTAAAGTGAGCAGAATATTCATGTTGCAGCGAGGCTGACCTCTGTCAAATTCAATTCCTTTTCAGCAGGCTCAAATGCAACACCTCCAATTTCGATTGCAGTAAGAGGCGTCCCATTGTTTCACATGTTCAAACCAAAGAACCTTGGTTTTCGCTACACTGCAGGAAAACTGTTCGCGGGCAGGTTTGTGAATTTTTGGTGAACTGGCTAGGGAGATGCCGGCTGATGCGGATGGCGATTCTGAGTCGATGGTGACAGCGTTCACATCTGACAACACTGCTGGTTCTGGTTCAACTACATGTGATCCTCAACTTGACCCGACCCTTTTGTTTTGGCGTGATTAGCTGGCCGGGTAATAATTAATGTAGTCCCTTGATTAATCAACCCCCCCCCCC